AGACGATATTCAAGTCAATTTTTTTCTTCATATATATATATATATATATATATTCCGTTGTACTCTTGACGCCAAACAATAGTTTCATCACTCCTGACCTGGATGCTCGGCTTTCCCAGTGCCGTAAGGTTGCCTCTCTACGTCTTTTCTATAAATAATTTCATGGTATGTGTTCGGGTGAGCTCTTCGCTATGATAGCTAGACTTTTTGAATTTAAGCGCAGTACTAGAGTGCCGTCGAGATTTCATCAATCTTGAGCTGCCGAGATGTAACCATAAATTCTATGCTTAAGAATTTCTTTTCTCGCACTTCCCGATTGTGGAAATCCCTTCTGCCCCCATGCTTTCCAGACAATTTTAATCTGCAAAAATTTAAATCCAACCTCAATCGCTATCTACTGTTCTCTGACTACTCGTTTTATTCTCGATCATTAGTAATGTTTCCATTTCTAACTCCTACACATTCAGTAACCACTTGTGTCTTTGTAGTTTTATTGCCTTGTATGTGGTGAAATAGAGGTATAACATTTCTGTTTCACTAAATACAATTACCGACTTCCTGAGGTTGTGTGTTCGACTACGTATGAAACCCTTAGTCGTGGTCGATCAAGAGTACGCCAGAATACATTACGACACAATATAATACATTGTCATTTTGGCATTGAGTTCTATTTTTGTGATGTAACTCTTTAGTAAACTCTTTTGCAACACACAGACACACATACACGCGCGCACACAAATAGTTGTTTGAATTTCTATGAGTAAATAAACAGAGAAATGTGGTTTATCCTAACAAGGCAGGTTATTTTGTTCGGATAACGGAACCGATCTTTTTTTAAATAAAAAAAGAAGCCATATTAAACGCGTAAAAACCCACTTGAATCGTTCTGTTTTTACTTAATTTCATATGACAAATGATAATGTTTAAAGTTCGTGATATTTTCTCTTATAAACAAAATCACGTTATCTGCCGTTAAAATAACGAAAATAAAGCGTTTAAAATTCAAATAATCCTGAGGTAATTATAAAAAATAGATCTGTATACTTACACCGGAAGTGCACTGAGTTCGTCGAAAGAAGAAAAGTTCTGGTTAATAAAATTCATTGAATTATTGATAGATCATTGTTTTTCTGGGGAAAATACACAGTCAAAGTTTGAGGTTCTTGTGTTGTTCTTTGTTTTTTTTTCTGCAATTTTTAAAGCAATATCATTTGATGAAAATACATCAACCTTTTAACGACGACTTCAACTTGCGATGCAGACCGTTCTATGAAAAGTCCAAAACCGCTTCATCTCTTCGCTTCTAGACAGTTCAGGAGTATTCAATATCTGATTTTCCTCGTTCAATAACGGCGTCTATACTTTCCCGCTTTTGGTGCCTAATGTTGATAATCTGATCATTCCGGAGTGGCTCTGTTCCGATGTCCTTTTTAACTGTTTCCACAATCATCAATCTTAGTGTCTAAACCCGAACGTTGCTTTTCCAAACAACCAATAAAATTTTATGCAGATAACTGATTGTGTCGTTAAATGACCCGATTATTAAGAAAGAAGCGATAATAAAAAAAAAAAAGTTTTAAGTTGTATGAAAAGTAAAACTACAGGATATTTATGTTTGTCAAAATTTGAGATATTGTTTTACAAACAGGATCAAATTAATCACCCGTTTAAATAACTGTTGTGGTAGGATCCACCTAATTTGCATAGTGGAGTACCCACCATATAAATATGGTTGGTACCGGGAAGAGAGGGAGGAATCAAGAGATTCAACCAGAGACTCTGCCCGACTGCGACTCAGTCAACACATTCTCCAGGAACGGTCTTACCAGGAATATACAAAAGACTATATGTAAATATTGTGTACACTTTCTTGTTTCAATACATTTTGTTCTAAGTACATTTTGTGTTGCATTATTATTCCATGCATTAATCAAGTTTCAACAATAACAAAAATATGAAGATGAATATTGAGGAAAACAAACACATGCACCTTGCGTCTACTTCGCCTGTGCTTCATACATCTTCATGGGAAAATCGCAAACTGTCTATAGTTTCGCTAACATTGACTCCACGAGGGCGTCGTCGTGATCGGGTTTCCATTTACTCTACTTTCCCGCTTATTTCACTGTTATTCTGCTCGTGTTTGAGTAAACAATGTTTGTATCAATGCACTCATCAGGTGGTTTGATAAAAACGTTTCTATAAATACAATCATTCTTATCGAAAGCCCTCACGAGTGAGAAATTAAGAAACTCAGAGTTGACTCTGACAAGTTTTGAACTTTATTATGTCTGATTAAATAATTTTTTTTCTACTAGACATTGATTGTTAGAAATTCTATTGAAACTAATATATGAGGTGCATTCCGTAAGTTTTGAGACTTTTTCAGGAAAGACTTTTATTAATTTCAAAAGAACAAAATTGTAACCTCCTTCAAAGTTGGATTGCCTGACTTGAATACACTTGCTGTAGCACTCCAGAAACTTCGTGAAACCTCCATGGGAGACATCCAGCCGTATTCTTCAATCTGGAATAAGCAATATTGACAGGTCAGCTTATTAGATGAATAGAATTTAGATGCTATAATTACAATAATCTAAGACAATTTAAATGCTTCTCATAAAAAAAAATCACAAAAATTCTGAAATTTCCCTCGTACGCTAAATGACATAATTTTTATGTATATGAATAGATAGTATTACTATTTGATCTTATTGTTGTACAAAGATAAGGAGACTAAAAGACGATTGTGATTTCTCGGGTATTAATGTAATTAAAACCCGAATATGAAAGAGTGTAATATATGTGTAAGGTAAGGAGTCCTGCTATGAAAAATTACAGAATTTGAACACGAAAAATACAACATGCCTTCGAAATCTCTATTAATTCTTTTGTGACGTCAACAAACACTCGTTGCCACTTTTGTAATGCCAACAAATAATCGTTGTCACTTTCCGTAAAGCTCTTGTAGTAGAGACTTTGTAATCGCAGATACAACTTATAGTACAACGTTGAACAATACTGGTGTATGACGATTTCGAATAACAGTCGCACTAATAGTACTTGCTCGATAATACTCGCTCCACAAGTAATCCTTATAGTGATCCAAAAAGAGAAATAGTGTAGTGAATAGAGTAGAAATAGCGATCCGAATAGTAGTAGAGGATAGTATAGAAATCCGATCGATTGGAATTGACGCCACTTCCTACTTAGGTGTTTCCTCTATGGTCATATGGTCTATTTAATTCAATAATGAGATCTCCTGTTTTGCTCACTGGCGATCTATATTCAAAATCAAGTGACGGCAGGGACCATTTATTCCTATATAACAGATTCTTTCAAAGAATTCTCTTGACCGCTTTCTGCTTACTATGACTCAAACGCTACCGTTTATAAAAGGGAGCAGTTAATGTTTGTGTTATGCTCAGTACATTCCCAAAAACATTCGTATATATATATATATATATATATATATATATATATATATATATATATATATATACGAATGTACTAAGCATAAAACATATATTTAGGAATGTACTACATATAAAACATGTATTTTAAGAATATATATATATATATATATATATATATATATATATATATATATATATTCTTAAAATACATTTATAAAATCTGGGTATGAGGTCAGCAGTAATGTTAAACTGGCTTCATTGCGGATTTCGGGTCTTGCTACACCAGATCCGTTCTGTCAATACCCCGACCTGTTAACAGGACTCCTCTCCGCATAATACGCTCCACAATGAGATTTTAATAACAGAAATTGTATTAATAATCAGGAGGTAGATTTTTTTTTTATAATGGTAACAAGACTTGCATTAGGCAATCAGAATTTGCTTGTCTGCTGTCTAGAGTTATAAAAACAAAGGCGTGACATAGGCGCGCTTTCTAGTTTTGCCTCTCTTGCACATGCACCAACGTTTTTTTTTTTTAGATTTACAAAAAAAAAAAAAAAAAATACCGTTTCATTCAACGAACGGACATATTCCTTTTTTAATACACGGACACTTCCTTTTCAGCCAAATCCACCGGGATACTATTTCACCTGGGATTTCTTTCAGTACTTTCTTATTTGCGGCTCCCACCATTACAATTTTCGCTAATCCTTTGCTCAGTGTGTGTCCCACAAAACCTCTGCGACCCATTTCTATCAGATCGAATAAGTTTTCTAACCATTTTGCAGGCACATTTCAACCAATTCCTGGTATTTCTCACGCTTTCTTTCGTTGGCCAGTGTGTAATTTCTTCCAAAGCAACCGATAATTCCCAAATTATTAACTTCTTTCTGCAATTCTAATAAACTAATAGATCGGGTCGAAGTGGTGTCTGTAGTATATGACTTGGGATTGGACTCTACTTTGAATAATATGTATGTATTTGGTTCAAATGATAACCACACTTGATGTTGTGACCTCCTGATCCAGTTTCCCCCTCTACTGTTACCACTTTTTAAAACTTATTCACCCCTTCTCTTGATAGTTCTTAAATTGACTTTATATACATACATATATATATATATATTTATATATATATATATATATATATATATATATGGTGGACTCTCTTGTAGCGGACAGATGGAACATGTAATTGAGCTATTTTGCTCGATTGGTTAAGGTTCAATTGTCACATGATTCTGCGAGTGTCTTCTTTACTGTGTATAACAGAGCCGCACTAGCCGGCAAGGCCGTCATTGAGAAGAGCAGCATGTTGCCAACTTTAATATTTGCACAAAATTGACCACGATGTTCAAGTCGGCCGCGCTCAAAGAAAGAGGACGGGCGTCAGATCCTTCGCACTGACGCTTTGTTTTCCCAGAACGAAAAGGGGATGCTGCACAGCTTCAGATTGTTTTTGAATTTGTCTTTGAAACACAAGAGTGGCCTTCCAACCTACATGCTTGTTAGAAACAGTCGAAAAAGGAGATCTTTTGGAAGTCTGCTCGTACAAGAAAGATGCCATGTCCACTTGAGTCTTATTCAATTAGATAGATAGATAGATAGATAGATAGATAGATAGATAGATAGATAGATAGATGTGGGTGTGGGTATGGGTGTGCCTCGCCGGTTCAAGGCTTTAAAATGGATGCCGCGTATACCATTCAACGCATTCAAAACTATTAAAAACGGTTTCATTTAAACCAGTTTTTAACGAATAACTTCTATTAATCTTAAAGAATCCTAAAGACTGGAGTAAAAAAACTCACAAACGGAGATCTTTACCAAATAACAAAAACATATCATTTGAATACGTCTACCCTCACCCACAAAAAAAAATGCGTAATACATGCAACTAGAGAGGAAAATCATAACATACTCAAGATGTAAGCCTTCTACACTAACTAAAACAAAAGATCTAGACGGTAACTCCGATCCATGTTACTGTGAATTTGAAAACTTCATTTTTTTGAAAAACTCTTTCAAGAAAAATATTTTATAAATTTCAATCAACAGTAACTGTTCGATCGATGAATACCGAAAGTTTCCTGAATGGAAAAGGTTAATTATACCATTTCTATTACAGCAAGAGAATAAAAGGAGAATAAGTAAATTATAAGAAGTAATCAATATCGGCATTTTTAATAATATATTTTAAAATCCAAGAAATATAAATCATAATATTATAATATATGAGATATGAAAAAAAGCTCTGATAACGTTCAAATGCATCGAACTGCTTGAATTATCTCTATTTTGTCGAAACGATTTGAATACGGTATGTGTAGCGGATACAGCCAACGTACACCACTTAAGGCTGAGTATCATTTTCTTTCCATTCATCTAACTCTCGATCACCCCATATATATATATATATATATATATATGTGTGTGTGTGTGTGTGTGTGTGTGTGTATATATATATATATATTATATATATATATATATATATATATATGTGGTAGGATCCACCTAATTTGCATAGTGTAGTACCGACCATATAAATATGGTTGGTACGGGAAGAGAGAGGGGAATCAAGAGATTCAATCCAGAGACTCTGCCCGACTGCGACTCAGTCAACACATTCTCCAGGAACGGGCTTACCAGGAATATACAAAAGACTATATGTAAATATTGTGTACACTTTCTTGTTTCAATACATTTTGTTCAAAGTACCTTTTGTGTTGCATTATTATTCCATGCATTAGTCAAGTTTCAACAATATATATATATATATGCAGAAATATTTTTACCTAATAGAATAATAACGAAAATGAGAAGAACGGTAGAAAATTGATGATACTTACTGAAGAGTGGACAGAACGATTACAAAAAGATTAGTTTACGAAACTCGTCGGAGTCGGTATGCTAAATATAAATAAATGCTTAATATTATATCTGCATTGATATACATATATATAATCAATTGCATATATATATATATATATATGTGTGTGTGTGTGTGTGTGTGTGTGTGTGTGTGTGTGTATAGTTTACAATTGGAATTAAGATACCTTTAGTAAATGACTATTTTCAATTACGAATTTTAATTTTAAACACACAAGGTTCTTTCTCCAAATAAACAGTACACTACAAACTGATGCCATAAACAGCTTGAAAAATCGTGCGAATTTTAAAATTAAAATTCGTAGGTGAAAATGGCCATTTATTAAAGGTATCTTAATTCCAATTGTAAAGAAAATTTGCTCTGTTTAATGAAAATAAACATTGAGCGCTCTTTTTTGAGTCAGTTTTATCGTATTTCAAATTCTATGTTGAGTTAATAGGACTCGCCTGGATTATACCAACAGATTACTACCTACCTACCTATATATATATATATATATATATATATATATATATATATATATATAATTTCAGTTTATATTCAGTTATGACTTTTTCAAAAATACTAGTATGTATTTTATTTCCTTTTCTCTCTTCCACCCCACTCACACACGCGCGAACACACACACACACACATATATATATATATATATAGAGAGAGAGAGAGAGAGAGAGAGAGAGAGTGAGTGAGTAAGTGAGTGAAAGAGAGAGTTTGTGATTACAAGAAATGTCACGAGAAATGAAGAACTGATTTTTTTTCTTTCGATGAGCAATCATGTTTACAATTTTGGTGAGAATTTCATTGGAAATTCCAACATCTTTTGTATGGTATCCTTTTAACAAGTCGAGGCAATCGTCAGAACATCTATTAAGTGTGAAGACGAACGAATTACAGCTGTCAACAAATCAAATAAATTTTATTCACATAAATGTTTAATGAATTTAAATCTGATATATTAAAAGATTCACTGTAACAGATATGTGTCGTAATAGGTTTCTTGAATATCACATTCCAAGAGACAAGTTATTACTTTATCAATGGCATTTTGAAATAGATAACGTAATGCATGTGTTAATACGTACAATATTGCCTTTATGTTCTCGCTCATATCTGTAAAGTACATAATGGATGTGATGCACATGGAATGTGGGGGGGGGGGGGAAACCTTTAACTAAAATAGCACTAAGGTTAGGAATTTGGGTGTGAAATATCATGTAAGCCAAAAGAACAATGTAAACGTGAATAGATTTGAAGTGACTGCTTATCAATGTATCTCTCTACTACGCATACATATATATATATATATATATATATATATATATATATATATATATATATATGCAAACATATTCCATACATATACGCCTATATATAAATATATGCGTATATATGTGTATATATAATATACATAAACGCATATGCACAGACACAAAGACAAAGAATAAAAATCAACCTAACACCAATAACAAGCGCATATTTTTTTTAATTTAATATAAAAAATAACGAAAATGAGAAAATTGGTAGACAATACCTCCTGACTACCGAAAGATTACAAAAAGGTTCGTCTATGAAACTCTGGATCCGGAGAACTGAATACAATTAAGTGACAAATTATATACATTTTTGTATTAATTATATATATATATATATATATATATATATATATATATATATGTGTGTGTGTGTGTGTGTGTGTGTGTGTGTGTGTGGAAAATATATAGAAAATAGGAAAGAACTTGCTAGGTAAATAATCCAAAGTTCTTTAGTATTTTTGTTATTATTTTTTTTTAAAATAGTGCTCGATACAAAAGTAGAGCATACATATAATTATTTATTTAAAAATAGGATTCCAACACGCTACATAGGAGGTCTCATGTTTCAAAACAAGAGCCTAAAACTTCAATATAATTATTTGAATTAAATTGAATTAAAGTAAGCTCTGTTCCATCTTCAAGCGAATTTTTTTTTTTTTTTTTGGAATAACTTATTTCTGAAATTTAAGTGTTTTAATAGCATATTCATAATTGAAATCAAAATTTCCATGGTAACAGCTAGGGCGATTGTTTAAGTAGTGAGGTGTGTTGGGTGTTAATAATATGTATCAGTTAGAGTTATATTCATAGATGTCAAGTCAGGGTAAGGTAGGGGTGTCTAAATTTAAAACGGAAGAAGTTTTCGCCCAGTCTGGTTTACGTGTCTATGGAGATTTATTTATTTTTTTTATTTTATTTCTTTATGAAAGGGTTTTGTGTATATAAAAACTTCTGTAACATTTGTTTTTTGACGACTTTATAAAGGGTTATCTATTTTTGTAGTGTATTCAAACTATTTATTAGGGCTATGGATTATAAAAATTATATTATTGTATGCTTGTTTTTAAGGTAATTATTCAATGCCAAAATTTGATGATGTCGGCAAAAAACCGTTAACTCATGTCTATTGTTTAATAGATTTTTATTAATTAGAAACTTAATAATGGGCAGTTTCTCATGGAGGCATTAAGGGCAAGGGTCATCCCAAGTTTTACAAGTTCTAGTCCTGTTTATAATTTTCCATTTTACTTTAGGTGTCCTATGTATTTCCTTCAAATGCCAAAAATATTTAGATAGAGAAGTCTGATTTCTTTTATTTATATTGTTGAAAGAGCACTTATGCTGCCTCCATCTGGCTTTAAATTCATTCTTCGTAGACCTCTTATGTAGCGTGTTGGAATCATATTTTTAAATAAATAATTATATATATATATATATATATATATATATATATATAATGAAATCTTAGTGAAAATTCAGCTTAGGTGGACAGGATATCTTTCTCGTATGAGTGATAGCAGACTTCCAAAACCTCCTCTTTTCCCAGCTTCTAACAATGTTATACCGGAACGTACCTATTTCTATTGTAAATGGACAAGTAGTAGTAGTAGCAGTCACCAGTGAAGCTGAGTGAGTTGTGTGAGCCAGTCGATGTCGGACATTAAAGTATGAGCCCCACAACTAGATTGCTGCGTCATTAACTATTATTGCAAGTTCCTAATGTTTCGTACGTCGAACCTAATTTAGGACCGACTTAGTGAAATACAAGCCTCCACTGTGAAAACTACTCTACAACACATTTGGCGACGAGTGATTCGTTTCTCAAACGGAAAAAAAAATTCGTTTCGCCATATACAACGCTTGGCGACGAACGTATTTTGGATTCATACGGAAAAAACTTTGCGTTCACTCTACAACACTTGTCGACATGGATTCGTAACTCATACAGAAGAGGAAAAAAAATTCACCCTTTATACCAAACGTGGCGTACGAGGGATTTGATTTCATACAGTGAAGAGAAAAAAAATTCGCTCGCCACGTTATTTAGTGACGAAATTCGTTTTTCATACGGAGGAAAAAGAAAAAAAAATGCTCGTCAAATTTTCGGCGACAACAAATCGGATTCACATTTTAAAAAAAAAAAAAAAACTTTGAAAAGTTTTTTCGAAAGGCAAGACGTCAACTTAGTGACGAAAAAATCAGTCGTATTCTCAACTGAGAAAAGAATTTTTTTTCTCGATAAGACAGTTTTTTCAAATAGGTCACGAATTACAAATTCGTTTTGGACCCCCCTCTACAATATTTAAGCATTGTGTAAACCTTTTTGCGAAGATGGAGGAATGCAAAAATATATTCCAGGAATATTTTAAGTTCCAGACGGAACAACAAATGACAATATTAGAGCAACAGAAGACATTCCAAATGCAACTACAGGAGGAAACGTTTAATAGACAGATGCAGTTTCAACGAGACATGGAACTGATGCATAACGAGTTTCAAAACAAAATTCTGGAAATAA